AAGAGAAGCAAGGTCCTGTGCACGGCCGGGCGTGGGCACTTCCTCCCCTCACCATGGGTGTGTGCTGTGGAGGACGGGCTGCGTGGATCACAGTGCTCCCTGGCGGGGAGGTACGCCCACGCGGCCCAGTCCAGCCCGGCCCTTCACTGCCGCTGAGGCCGGGACTCCCCTGCCCATGAGGCCCACCTGTGGGGCCCAGCTGGGGGTTGGGGACGGTGCAGGGTGTGTGTCAGGTGCCACACGCAGACCCCCCTTGCATCTTGGGCTCTGCCTGACTCTTCCTCCACTGTCTTGCCTCCTTACCCTGGTGGCCGGTGTGTGGCCAGAGAAGGTGGCTTGGTCTCCAAAACACAGCTGAGGGCAGGCTGAGGCATGCAGACATCCAGCATGGCTGGCGAGGCTTCCGAGGAGCCCTCTGGCCCTGTCCCCGCCATAGGGTTTTCCATCCATGCCGAACAGAGAGGAAGTCCACCTGGGGTCCCCAGCCCAGCTTCTAGCCTGTCTCCGGGGGCCAGCAGCCCCCTGTCAGACCCACTGTCCACAACCTACACCACGACCCCCCGACCCCTGACACACAGAGCCCTCTGGCACTTCCTGCGTTATCCTGTTCAGGTATCCTGCTTCCCTATGATCAACACTTGAACACCCCAGCAAGAGCTTCGCTCACTTCAGAATTCCTCTCATAATGCTGTGGCAGCAAGGGAGGATGGGATTCATACCCTAGAAGGCAAAACAGGCTGGAAAGCTATTCTCAAGGGTGGTCAGCTGTGTCCAGCCACTCTGGATGTCTACCTGATGTTACCAGCTGGTCACCTTTCTCCTTGATGAGCCTGGCTGTCCTGCTTTGCCCAGATATGCAGGCAGCCACCACTAATCTGTCAGAGTTGACACTTGAGACAAAACCTATTTGCCGCCCTTATAGCAAAAGGCACAGGCATCAGCGTGGTGGAAGGTCAGGGAGTCTGTGAGTCGACGGTTCTTCCTGGCCACGCCTCAGGGCCCCTCAGCACAGGGCCAGCTCAGTGTGGGCATTTCTCCCTGTGGTTCGGTTTGGATTCCACTCCTCCCAGGAGGAAGCCTGCCACTTATCTTGGGCACAGTATTGCCCACCCTGGATGAGGTTTGCTCCCCAGCCTGCCCCTATCCCAAAGATTCACACTTTCACCTTGTCCGTGGTAGGGTGGTTATGTCGCTTTTGAGGCAGGTGATTTGCAACTAACATGTGGTGCAGAGCAAAGAGCCATTGCAGTTTGACCATCCTGGGTTCAGATCTGAACTCTGTCATCTGCCTGTGAGCTTGGGCGTTACTTAACCTCTCTGAGCCTTAGGTCTCTCATCTGGAGGGCCGGGGGTTGCCTCAGGGATTAAATAAGAGTGGAATGCAGAGCTACTGACTTGTGCCTGGGTGAAGTTCTAGAGGTGACAGGAGGCATAAGAGGGAGCTGAGGTGGCCACTGACATCCAACACATGGACAGCATGATGAAGACTAAGCAGCCTGGGAGCCAAGCAGGGACGTTGACAACTACTGCACGGTCCTCTTGAGGGCTCACTGTGGCCAGCATGCCGCTGAGTGCTGTGACCACATGTCCCTCCTCTAACTGGCCTGTGACCCATCCTATTGTCTTTCCACGGCTGGGAGTCTGAGCCTGGAGAGTGAGGTACAGCCCAGGCCACCCTAAGAGCACCTGTCTTGAGCCCTTGCTGCTCTGACCGGTGGGTGCCTGGCTGTGGCCCGGACACGTCTGATGCTCTGTGGAAGTGCACAGGGGCTGCAGGGCACAGTGGAAAGATGGGGGCTTCAGAGTCTGGACAGGTGCTGGTTTCCAATCCAGGCTTTGCCTCCATCCACTTTGACCCTCAGGAAGGACACCAACACTCTGCGGGCTTTGGCTTGCTCGTCTGTAAATCAGAAATGCTGCTCTGGCCTTACAGGGTAGTCATCTGGGAACATACACTGTAGCCCCGGTGTGTGCAGGCACTTAGGCATGCCTGTGGGCCGCGGGAGCTTAGGCAGATGTGTAGGGCCACTGTGCAGGCCCAGGTGCCAGGTGGCTTGGCTCTGAGTGTGTGCTGCTGAGTCCTTATGGGGCCAAGACACCCTCATCAGGGTGAGGACTTCCTCACTCTGGAAGGCATTTTAAGTTTCTAAGGAGGGAGGCATGCCCCTTGAGTGCAGCCCTCCAGGCTTGCTCATCCCAACCCTCCCGTTCTTTCTCTCCTCAGCAATATGTCCAATGCCTTGGCCAATGCGGTGTGCCAGCGCTGCCAGGCGCGCTTCGCCCCCGCCGAGCGGATCGTCAACAGCAACGGAGAGCTGTATCATGAGCACTGCTTTGTGTGTGCCCAGTGCTTCCGGCCATTCCCTGAGGGGCTCTTCTATGAGGTGAGGATGCTCCCAAGACCCTCGGCCGGATGGCTTTATTGGAGTCCGAGCCCCCAGCCAGCTCAGAGTTTGCTCTTCCAGGAGCCTTTGGGCTCTGTTTGGCTGTGGTCCTGACCAGTGACCAATGGGCAGTCGTGCCAGGTCTTGGACATGCCGCACTTTGTGGGTCCCTCCCCACCTGTATCCCCCCCCGTGGCTGTGGGTGCTGAAGGAGAGTCACCATTCACCCAGCGCCCACTGGGTGGACTCTGGGAGGCCACAGTACGCAAACACCCTGCCCTGGTGGCACATACCCTCCCTTGGGATCAGATGGTAAACACAATAAATATAAATATGTGGTATATCAGATGGTGCTCAGTGCTCTGGTTATAAGGAATCTCAGGGTTCAGAGGGTGGGTGATCAGGGAAGGTAATGTTTGAGCAGACCTGGAGGTGGTGAGGGAGCCATGCACACATCTGCAGGAAGAGCACTCAGCAGAGAGCACTGTCAGGTGCAAAGGCCCTAAGGTCAGAGCACGCAGGGTATTTGGGGTGCAGTAGGAGGCAGTATGTCTGACATCTGAAGAGGACCACTCTCCTTGCTGTGCTGAGGAGAGACTAATGTGGGCAGTCACAGAAGCTAGAGAACAGGTGGGACCAGAAGCTGGATTACCGAAAAAATCCAGATCAAGTAAAGCAGTCTAGACTGGGCCACACTGGCTCATAAGAGCAGATTGTGTGAATTTTCAATAATCTTGCCAGCTAGTGACTAAACATAACTCTTATTCAAAATTAAATCATATAAATTTACAGTGAGATAAAATTTTATTGAAAACAAGGGAAATACATACTCAAAATCCACCATTTCCTAATTATTTTATTATTTTCTATTATCATCTATGCCTTTGAGGTTATTTGTCTATTGTCTCTGGGTGGTAGAAACAGTACCCTGATGGCCGTTGCACATACTTAACTCCATGCTGATGGCATGTTGGTATGGCATTGTCCATGGCAGGAATATTTACACCATAGAAATTGGTAAATGCTACAGATTGGACCCCATTTTCCAAAGGGCTGGTGGGTAATCATTTACCAGTGCACCACTGGGGCTGCAGTGGAGGTGTGCCCAGGGTGCAGAGTCTGGAGAGACTTCGAAGGTACAGCTGATGGGATTGACAGATGGCTGTGTGGTATGTGAACTCCTTCTGGCAGTGTCGGGGCAGCTGTTCCTCAAGGAGTCTGCCAGCCTCCTAGGAAGTGCTGGCCCGCTGTGGAGGCAGGGTGAGCTGAGCCACAGCTCCGTTTGAGGTGGCCACGTGCCTGGAACAAAGCCCAGCACACAGTAGATGCTCAGGAAATGTGCGTTGCTGAATGAATTTCATACCCTGCCACCTCCACAGGCCACTGGGTAGGGCTATATTCAGTTGCAGCCCAACAGGATTCTCATCTCAGAGAAGAGGGCAAACCAACATTTTTTTAAAGGAAGAGAAAATTGTCAAAGAAGAAGAAGGCAGAGGCAAGGTTTGCCACCCTTGGGGCCGGTGCAAGGGCCATCATTACCCCGGCAGGTGGGGACGATGGCTGGTGCCCAGAGTGGCTTCTGCTGGCTGCAGGACTTAGGGTTCTCCTCAGGCCCCCATATTTTTCCTGTGTCCCTTGTTCTGTCTCCCCACTCTGGGGCTCTTGTGACCTCTGGGGGAAATGGACTTCTCACACAGAGGAGACACACAGGAAGTAGGGCCAAGTGACATTTATAAATCAGACTTGATCCCAGCCCTCGGCTCCCTCCCAGGACCACCAGGGCCAAGGTCTTGCGCAAACAACAGTGGCTTTGGAGGGCTGGCCTTATCAGGTTCCCAACTTCTTGGAGACCCCTCACTTTGCACGCCCTCCTGCCCTGTTGAAAGGGCCAGTTCTAGCAGATTCCCTCCCATCTCTAGGCTCTGGAATGCCTTCCTCTCAGCACCCCCGCCCCCTGCAGTCTCTTCCAGCTCCTTACCATCTCCTCCAGGAAGCCTTCTCTGGTGAGAGGGTTGGGTGCTACACTCTGCTTCCTGCAATGGTAGCAATTGCACAAATTGGGGTGCTTGTCTAGCCTTCCTGAGGGCGGGTCCTTATCCAACAAAGAAAGACTGACCAGCTCAGGGGAATGATGAGGGTTTGCCTGAACTTTCTCTGCTGGCCCATTTGCAGTTTGAAGGCCGGAAGTACTGTGAACATGACTTCCAAATGCTATTTGCTCCATGCTGTGGATCCTGCGGTAAGGGCTGGATGCAGCACACTTCCCTGTGTGCCTGGGGTTGGGCAGGTGGGCGGGAGTTACAGGCGCACTTCCTTGACCCCCTCTCTGAGCCCCAGCGTCTGCAGGCATCACCTTCCCAGGCTCTGGGAGGGGAGCACTGTAACCAGGCTGAGGGTCAGGCGAGTGCCAGGGTGGGCAGGGCCTGGGAGGGGGTTTGTGGGGGGGGGGCACAGGCCTGCCTCAGCAAGCAGGGACCCATCTCTTCCAGGTGAGTTTATCATTGGCCGCGTCATCAAGGCCATGAACAACAACTGGCACCCGGGGTGCTTCCGCTGTGAGCTGTGTGACGTGGAGCTGGCTGACCTGGGCTTCGTGAAGAATGCTGGCAGGTGAGGTGGGCAGGTTCTGGGTGGGAGGAGGGTCCTCACCCAGGCACTGCTCAGTGAGCACCAGGCCCATGTGGTATGTGCCACATGCTGGGTCCCTGCAAAGCAGAGGAGACCCCTGCTTTACAGGTGAGAGCCAGGGCTGGAGAGAGCAGGAGGTGACCAGTCAGCACCTGCCTCAGGCCTGAGGGTGCTCCCAGGAGCAGATGGACAACAGGCAGCCAGGAGGAAGGTGGCCGGAGCAGGAGCCATGAGATGCAGTGGGTGGATCATCACTGCTGCCTGGCCACCACACGCCACTGACCCCACTACCCACCTCCTTCCGCGTGCCCAGGGCTAAATCTCGCTGAAATGATTGAACCAGGGGGCCCAAGTTGACTCTTCAATTCAGGGCACCTCATGGTCAGTTTCCTTGGTAGGCTAATTTCCTGGCTTCTAGGAAGACTGGCTCTTATCTCCCAGTACCATCTCTATACCTCCTACCCTCCCAGAGCAAGGGCCTCCCCCCACAATGACTTTCCCTGCTCCCTGCACTGGCACTGCCCCTGCCTCAGTCACAGTGCATCATGGAGGCCCTGTCCTGCTCCTCCCAACGTCCCGTGGCTCCCCACCCTCCTCTCTGGCAGGGCTCTCTGCTTCAGTCTGCCTCTTTCTCCCAGAGCTGTGCTCCCTCCCACTGTGGTTCTCTGCAGCTTGTTCCAGCACCCTCCTCTCACATCCTCCCCACTGCCAGGCTGGTCATTCCTCTTGCCCTCCAGACCCGCAGGGGCCTGCTGGTCCTCTCTTGACCTCTCAGCAGGCTTCACGGCAGCTCTCACTTCTGGCTGGAGTGCCTCCTGCCCCGGTGCCCAGGACCCTGTGTTCTCGTGGTTTCCTCCTGCCTCGTGGCTGTGCTGGGCCCTCTTCTCTCTGATTTGGGGTTCAGTACATGGCCCTCATGTCTGTCCGAAGTCCCAGAGCCCTGGCTGGCAGGCATGTGCTGGACAATCCGGATGGGGTGGACATGCCTCCACCCCATGTATACCTCTCCCTGGGGTCTTCAGCTGCCTGTGTACCATGTCTGCTTGGTGTCCACTGGGCATCCCAAGGCAACAACAGGCCCCAAACAAACTGGTTTCTCTTCTGCTGACTACCAGTCTCCCTGTGCTGATGAAGATCACCACCCACCCTACCCGTCTGTCTGACTCCCCGGCCTCTCCTACCTTTTCACCCCTCTGTTCTCTGCCACTGTATCCCGTGCTCTGACCACTGCCTATAGCGATCTCACCCACCTGCCTGCTCCATGTTGACTGCTGTTGCTCTGGGTATCTGCAGGTGACTGGGCAGGAGGTGCCTGTATCATTGTCTACGGGCGGGCTGGGGGGGCAGATGGTGTCACAGGAGTCCCGTGCCAATTGGAGGTCACCTGCAGGGTGTGGGCCCGAGCAAGCCCTCTCTCCTTCTGAGCTACAGCTCACACTGAGCCCTCTGTCCTGGGAGCGGCTGGAAGCACTTGAGAAGTAAAGTAATGAAAGTGCGGCCCTGCTCAGACCCCCTGGCCTGGGCCAGCCCTCTGAGGCCTGTGATACAGGACTTAGTGTCCACGTGGGGCCAGCCTGCATGGGGGGCCGTCAGAACCAGAGGCAAAAGCCTGTGCTGCCTGGCTTCTCCTGTCTTCACTTCTGCTTTGCCATTCTTGGGTGCAGGGGAGGAGGTCTGGGAAGGTGGTTATGTTACCCACTCACGAAAACCTTCAGCATCACAGTACAGTTATGGTTATGATCAGTATGATCAAGTGCCAAAAGGGACCTGCCAGGGTGGTAGGTGCCATGCCAGGGAGTAGAACAGCTCAAAGGTTGGCCCCCTGTGGCTGGTCAAGCCTCCTGAGAGGGGGCAGGGCTCAGGATGCCCCTGCTGGCCTGGGCTAGTGGGAGACAGGGTCACATGCCAGGCATGACTCCCTGCTGGAGGTGTTCTGAGGCAGTGATGGAGCCTGGCTCCCCATATCTGTCCACCGTGCTGTGTGCACCACCAAATCAGCAGGGATTAGGCAGCTCCAGAGATTGTCGGGCTACATGCAGGCCCGTGTGGGCTCACCGCGGGAGGGATCCGGAACCCAGAACCAGGGTGACGTGCCCAGAGACCGCATTGTTGGATGTCACCTGGTGGCCAGGTGCTTACAATACTCAGCTAGGAGTTAGAGTCCATGACCCCTAAACTTAGGGGGTGTCTGGCAAAGGCGCCACCCAGGGAACTCAAAGTCCTTACCCCTCCACCAAGATTCCTGCTCCGCCTTCTCTTGAGTCATTCGCAGCTGCCTCCTGGGGTTCTTTCTGCAGAGCTTTGCTGCTGTGTGTTCTTTGTGGCAGGAAGGACATTGGGAGTCTAGCAAGCAGCCCTTGGGAAAGAAAGATGCTCATTGTTCAGGAGCTGTTCCCCGGCCTCCTCCCCTCCCACCCCCACGCGATGAAGTCACTGAATATCTAGTAAGTGCGAGTGAGCAGTGCCAGCAAAGTCTCTGCAGACGGGGTGGCTGATTGGGCCCATCAAGGGGGGTCCGGTTTTAGGGACTTGCGCATCAGAGCAGACGGAGCCGGAGCCGGTTGCTGGGTACTGAGTTCTGTCCTTGGAGAGGGCGACAGGGACGTGCCGGGAAGAAGGCACACTCCACCAGTCTGGGTCGCAGGTGCCCCGGCGGAGGAGTCCCTCTGAGGACAGTCTGTGGCAGTGCGGCGGGGGTGGGCCCAAGGCTGGCGTCGGTCCCCTCCTGTCGTCCCGTCCTGGGGCTCACAGCTCCGACCTGGCGCTCAGCGAGCTCTCGTTGGTTTTCCCTTCAAAGCTGGGGGGTGGACCTGAGAGCCTTTTGCCACAGATCAGGTTGCACAGGGCGTCGCGGAACTTCTCGGCCACAAAGAAGTACATGACTGGGTCCAGCGCCCCGTTGAGGCTGGTGAGGCAGGAGGTGATGCGGTTTCCCAGGGCCAGGATGCGCTGGGTGGCGCACGAGGTGCCGCCGCCGTGGTAGTGCAGCACGTAGACAGCGCGGTGGACGTGGTAGGGTACGAAGCACACCAGGAAGATGGTGAGCACCACGGCGATCATGCGGACCGCCTTGTTCTTGAGGCGCTTTTCCACACGGGGGCCCTGCCGCAGGCTGCGGATGATCAGCAAGTAACAGGTGACGGTGGTGACGAACGGGAAGGTGAAGGCCACGGCCAGGGACACAAGGGCGTGGTGGGAGGCCTTCTCCCGGTACAGCTGCAGGCAGATGACCGTGTGGTTTGTCTGCACCGTCTGTGGGCTCACCAGCAGTGGGGCCATGGCCACGGCCACCACCACCCAGAGGAAGGCACAGGCCAGGTGTGCGTAGAGGGGCCTGCGGAGCTTGAGGGACTTGACAGGGTGCACGATGGCCAGGAAGCGGTCAGCGCTGATGCAAGTGAGGAAGTAGATGCTGGCATACATGTTGAGGTAGAAGAGGAAGCCGGTGAGTCGGCACGGGATTTCCCCAAACGGCCAGTGGTTCCCAGAGAAGTGGTAGACGAGGCGGGTGGGCAGGACCAGCACGCAGGACAGGTCGGCCACAGCCAGGTGCATCAAGAATACGTTGGCAGGGGTGCCTGACTTGTGGTCCCGGATGAAAAGCCACAGGGCCAGGGCATTGCCAACAAAAGCCAGGATGAAGTCCAGGAGGTAGAAGGAGGCAAAGAGGATGTTCTCCAGTGGCGTCTCCTGGCCGCATTGCTGTGCGGTGGCCAGGGAGGAGTTAGCAGTCAGACCCGAGGAAGCCACCTCTATGCCATTCATGCTTCAGCCGGAAGCAGAGCTGGGGGACGAGCCTGGAGGAAACAAGCAGATGGGTTCCAGAGCTGGATGGAACCCGAGAAGCTTCTTAGCTCAGCATCACCTTGGGGACTACTGAAGGCAGCTCCTGTGTTCACCTGGGGGAGAGTGAGTGTCAGAGCCTTTCTGAAGCTCAGCACAAAGCAAAAATGAAGCCAGGGCTTGGAGCTTGCCAGGCCACTGCTGCGGCTGACTTCCCACTGCTCAGCTGCCTCCCTGCCAGGCACACAGGAGCCTGGGCCCTGGGGCTGGGTGTCCCAGAGGTCCACTCTCTCAGAGCATGGGGAGGGTGGGCAGTGAATCCATCTGTCTGGGCTCTGGGATGGAGGGAGCATTCCCATATTTTCTGCCATGCTCCCCAAGTGTTCTTTTTGAATGGCAGGGGATGGAGTGAGGGGCTCTTGGACTCAATTCCCAGTGGGTGGGCGGGGTAGATCTTTCTTTCTTTCTTTCTTTCTTTCTTTCTTTCTTTCTTTCTTTTTATTTATTTATGTGGGAGAGATAGAGGAGGAAAAATCCTAGGTGGGGGGAGTGTCAAGTGTCAGAGGGAGAGAATCCTCAAGCAAACTACTGGCTTAGCAGGGAGCCCAATGCAGGGCTTGATTCCAGGACCCTGAGGTTATGAGCTGAAATGAAGAGTTGGACACCTAACCCACTGAGCCACCCAGGCGTCCCTAAATCACCTATTTCTGAGAGCCTGGTGCATGCAAGCACGGCCAGCTTCTCTTAGGCCTCATCTTTGCAGGGTGAACCCTGCTCACCCTAAGTCTCAGGACCCTTCCTGGCCCGCCTACCCAGGCCTTGTGGCATTTCCCACCGACCGCAGTGCGAAGCCTGTCACGGCTTTGTGCTCCTCTCCTGTCAGCCCCTGACCACAGCTCCCCCAACACCTGCCACCCAGAAGGGCCCCAACAGCAGTATAGTGACAGGCAGTTTCCTGGGAAGTCAGGGGCCTGCTGTCCGTTGGCACCTGAAAGCCATCCAGGCCTGGGTCCCAAGCTTTCTGGACTCAGCCTACCAACTCCATTTTGGACATCCTAAAGGGTGGAGACCTGTATTTCAGAAAGCCCTGCACTTGGGCCCCAGGCCAGTAGCGGAAATTTTTACCACCTGGAGTAGTTTAACAACCAGGAGGCAGATTCTTTTCTAGGAGAGGAAGAGCTATTTTTCCCAGAGGTAGTGAGACTGGCTATGGTTTTCCAGCCAAGTCTGGCTGCCCCAGAGAGGCCTGGGGCCCTGTCTGCTTGGCCTCCCTAGCCTGGTTTACCCACACCTGAGGGGGCCAGCTTAGAGCCCAGCCATGGGTCATTTATATTTAGCAAACTCCATTTCTGGGTGGGTGTTCCCTGCTCCCTGCCTGACAGAGGAACAGACTCCTGTGTTGATATTGGCCAACTCAAGAGATCCAAAAAGAAGAGGGAGGCTCCCAAATACCCTGCCCCCCTCACCAGCCCTGGGAGTGGGAGGTGTGGGCAGAAGAGGGCAGGACATCAGGGCCAGAGCAGCCTCCACCTGACCCATATGTCTTGCATCCCTGGGCTGCTGCCAGCCCCTCGTTCTCATGCCTGGCAGACCCTCACCTGCAGGGCAGCTTCTGGGGCCTCCCTGGAAGCCTGGCCTCCTGACACCCACAATGCCCACCTATGTGGCTGGGCTGCAGGGGCAGGAGAGGGGCTCACAGGAGAGAAGTGGCATCCCAGCAGCTGGAGGAGGAGCACAGACTGTGGCCATGGCAGGGTCAGGGATGTGATCCTGGCTGAGCCTGGCTCTGTACCGAGCAGGCAGGCAGCTGGAGCAAGTTCTCGGCAAGCGTCTCCTGGCCTCAATTCCCTCTGGAGGCATGGTGGCAGCTCTTTGAGCACAGCAGCTCCTGGGGGAGGAGGCTGGGTGCCATCCCCAGGCATGGATGAAGAACAGAGGCATGTAGCGGGGCCTGGCATGCTCCCTTTCAGTAGACAGAACAGAGCAGGTGGTCCAGCTTGTGGGTATGCTGAGCTGTCAGGCTGGGCAGCAGCTGGACCCTCCCCATCATGTTTCATCAATCACCCCTGGGGTCCTGTAACCATCCCCCTTATCCCTGTCTCTTCAGCACACACATGGAGGGGTGAGGGCAGGCTGCCTGAAGCAGGAGAGAGCCAGGGGCAATGCAAGTGAGTGGCACAGAGCATCTGGCCAGTCACCATCCTCGGGGAAAGTCGGGTACTTTCCTAACAATCACGTTAGTTATTGAAGGGATCCAGGGAAGTTCCCTTGCCCAGATGATTTCCCCTGCTCCAGAGTGGGTCAGGATGCCTGAAATCCAATACAGAGGCTACCTTCCTGCTGTTTCCAGGTGTGTGTACCCCAAGGTGTTGAAGCCAGGGAAGCCCTGGCTGTTGGAGAGGGGATGGGGCCAAGTGAGGGAAGGGTCATGTAGAACTGGGGAGCTGGATACCCTCTGCTCTGGGCTGCCCCACAGTACAGTTACCCCCTGGCCCCTGCTCGCAGGTACTGACTACCCAGTCTGCCAGGCCTCTGCATCGGTAGCTTCCTTGCACAGATCTGGGATTAAGAAGTCTAGGCTTAAAATCAGCTAACTTGCCCAAGGTCATTTGGCTGGGGACGGTGGTCCTAGATTTGGAAGTCAGATCAGGGACACCTAGCTGGGACACCCAGCACCTCCCGGAGCACTGCCTTGCCTCTGGAGGCTGCTGGGTGCCGGGTGCCAGAGTAGGGAGTGTGGCTCAGCCTCTGGGCTCATGCTGGAAGTGTCTCCTGGGCTCAGCGGCACTTTCTCGGGGTCTGGCCCCAAGAAGGGTGATGTCATTTTTGGTGCCCAGTGCAAAATGAAAATGTCGGCCCTTTATCCAAAAGTAGGAGTTTCAAGATGGTAACCAAAGAGCATTACATCGATTGTGGGGCCTGCCTGGCTGCACAGGTTGCTGGCCCGTTGTGGTATCTGGTGGTCATGGCAGCACCTGGCCGTCTGCCTCCTGCCCAGTGCCCTCGGCTTCCCGCCACCACTGAAGGCTGCATGCACAATGCTCTCTCTGGGATCGAGACTCAATTTAAAAATACTTTTAGGCCTGTTTCTGGTTTGTTGAGGTTTCTTTGCCTCTCCCATGGTAGGAGTTTTGATACTGATTTTTGCAGTGTGGTCTGAAATGGGCCCCTGTCTCCGTCTCTATGCGTACCCTAGAGATGCAAGCCTTGGCCTGCCCTTGTGGGCTCCTCCGTGGGGCTGCTCAGGGCAGGGTAGCGTGGGCACATGGAGTGCACCTGGGCCTGGACATTGGGGGGTCTGGGGCTGTGGGTCAGGCAAGCATCAAGGGCAGGTCCTGGGCCTCCGTGGAGGGGAGGCCTGGGCAGGTGGGGCTGTAGGAAGAGGCCCAAGGTGGCAGGGCCTTGGTGGGCAGACACTGCAGTCCCTCACACAGGCCAGCACCTCTTCTCTCTGCTCCAACTGGCTCCTCCCTGTGCCCTGGTGGCCTCGCAGTGGAGAGCCTGGATTCTGATTCCAGCTGACTGTCGTTGCAGTCACCCTCCGTAAGCACCCGGACAAGGGGATAGGAATACCTCCTAGCGGGCCTGCTGTGATCCAGACAAAGGCAGCCTTCAATAAATAGGTGGTGCCATCATCACAGAGTGTCTCAGGGACAGGGGCACCCAGTGCTGCCCTTGCTCTGGGTTGGCCTCTGCTTGGCGCCTAAACCCCCTGCCTGCCCTCACTGGGTCCTTGTCCTTACCTCTCACAGCTGGGTGCAGGCACAAGGGCAGGAGGACTGCGGGGCGGCAGGTGGGCTGTGGTCAGTGGGTGGTGGCGCTGGCGGTGGGCTCCGTGCCGCTGGAAGGCTGGCTATTTAAGGAGAGAGGGGAGACTGCAGCCCCTCTGGCCCTGAAAGGCTGCTTCATTCCGAGAGGTTCCTTGTGTGGTGGGCCACTCCTACGGCTGCCTCTGCCGCCACTGGGTTGTGAATATTCCAGTGTGTCCTAGGCCCAGGGCCCCCCACCCCCACCCCCCAGCCTGGCCACCAAGCATCACAGAAGTCTGGTGTGTGACTGCTCGAAGACGTGGAGTGGGCGCGGGCTGGGTGGGGTGGGGGGCAGGCTGGGACTGACGGAGACAAGAGGACGTTTCAGCAGGGGATAATTTCCTACCCACGGGGGGGGGGGGGTGGGGGGGTGGGGGGGGTGGGAGGGGCTGGCCGCCATGGCAACAGGCCTGGGCTTCCAAGCCTGCTCAGAGGACAGTAGAGGGGGACAGTGAATGGGGAGGCTGAGAGGCTGAGCAGCCTTGTTTGGTGGAATGAGAGGGGACTCTTTCAGGACACTTGCTGTAGGGTCCTTGTGTCTTGCCCTGTATAATTAGGCTCCATTCGGACGTGCGGAATAAATCATGGCCTTTATCTTGAGCGAGGCACAGCTGCGGGCTGCCTCATAATGGGGCGCTGTCTGGGCCTGTGGGGACATGGTACAGCCCATGAGGCTGGCCCTTACCTGTGCGGGCTCCTCCTTTGGACAGGAGGCCTGTGAAGATGGCCACTGCTGCCCACTCCCTAGGTATCCCCAAAACCCCTCCCAGGGGTGGCTCGAGGCTGGGGGTCCAGGTGTGGGCAGTGGCTGCTACTGAGCATGCCTCTCTGTCCTTCTCCAGATAATAACATTGGGAACAAAATCACCATGCTTGATCTCAAAAGACCTTTAAGTTTTTTAGTTAAAACATTAAAAATGTACATAGCTATCATTGAGAAGTAACTATTATGTATACAATTTTAAACTCGTTTTCCACATAATCATGTGCAGTTGGGATTATGGCCCATTTCACAGATGAGGAAACAGGTTCAGAGAGGTGAAGTAACTTGCCAGGAAGGGGCAGCATCAAGAATTGTGCCCAACAGGATACAAAATCAATGCCCAGAAGTCAGCGGCATTTCTATACACTAACAATGAGACTGAAGAAAGAGAAATTAAGGAGTCAATCCCATTTACAATTGCACCCAAAAGCATAAGATACCTAGGAATAAGCCTAACCAAAGAAGTAAAGGATCTATACCCTAAAACTATAGAACACTTCTGAAAGAAATTGAGGAAGACACAAAGAGATGGAAAAATATTCCATGCTCATGGATTGGCAGAATTAATATTGTGAAAATGTCAATGCTACCCAGGGCAGTTTACACGTTTAATGCAATCCCTATCAAAATACCATGGACTTTCTTCAGAGAGTTAGAACAAATTATTTTAAGATTTGTGTGGAATCAGAAAAGACCCCGAATAGCCAGGGGAATTTTAAAAAAGAAAACCATATCTGGGGGCATCACAATGCCATGTTTCAGGTTGTACTACAAAGCTGTGGTCATCAAGACAGTGTGGTACTGGCACAAAAACAGACACATAGATCAATGGAACAGAATAGAGAACCCGGAAATGGACCCTGAACTTTATGGTCAACTTATATTCGATAAAGGAGGAAAGACGATCCACTGGAAGAAAGACAGTCTCTTCAATAAATGGTGCTGGGAAAATTGGACATCCACATGCAGAAGAATGAAACTAGACCATTCTCTTGCACCATACACAAAGATAAACTCAAAATGGATGAAAGATCTAAATGTGAGACAAGATTCCATCAAAATCCTAGAGGAGAACTCAGGCAACACCCTTTTTGAACTCAGCCACAGTAACTTCTTGCAAGATACATCCACGAAGGCAAAAGAAACAAAAGCAAAAATGAACTATTGGGACTTCATCAAGATAAGAAGCTTTTGCACAGCAAAGGATACAGTCAACAAAACTAAAAGACAACCTACAGCATGGGAGAAGATATTCGCAAATGACGTATCAGATAAAGGGCTAGTTTCCAAGATCTATAAAGAACTTATTAAACTCAACAGCAAAGAAACAAACAATCCAATCATGAAATGGGCAAAAGACATGAACAGGAATCTCACAGAGGAAGACATAGACATGGCCAACACGCACATGAGAAAATGCTCTGCCTCACTTGCCATCAGGGAAATACAAATCAAAACCACAATGAGATACCACCTCACACCAGTGAGAATGGGGAAAATTAACAAGGCAGGAAACCACAAATGTTGGAGAGGATGCGGAGAAAAGGGAACCCTCCTGCACTATTGGTGGGAATGTGAACTGGTGCAGCCACTCTGGAAAACTGTGTGGAGGTTCCTCAAAGAGTTAAAAATAGACCTGCCCTACGACCCAGCAATTGCACTGTTGGGGATTTACCCCAAAGATTCAGATGCAATGAAAACGCCGGGACACCTGCACCCCGATGTTTCTAGCAGCAATGTCCCCAGTAGCCAAACTGTGGAAGGAGCCTCGGTGTCCATCGAAAGATGAATGGATAAAGAAGATGTGGTTTATGTATACAATGGAATATTCCTCAGCCATTAGAAACGACAAATACCCACCATTTGCTTCAATGTGGATGGAACTGGAGGGTATTATGCTGAGTGAAGTAAGTCAATCGGAGAAGGACAAACATTATATGTTCTCATTCATTTGGGGAATATAAATAATAGTGAAAGGGAATATAAGGGAAGGGAGAAGAAATGTGTGGGAAATATCAGAAAGGGAGACAGAACATAAAGACTCCTAACTCTGGGAAACGAACTGGGGGTGGTGGAAGGGGAGGATGGCGGGGGGTGGGGGTGAATGGGTAACGGGCACTGAGGGGGGCACTTGACGGGATGAGCACTGGGTGTTATTCTGTATGTTAGCAAATTGAACACCAATAAAAAATAAATTTATTATTTTTTTAAAAAAAGAATTGTGCCCAAGCATGTGTCACTCCAAAACTTAAGATTTGTGTGTGTTAGTTTTGGTTTGTTCCAGTTTTTCTGTTGCACCTTGATGCCAGAATTCTTAGGTTCCATCTTCATTCTACCAAGAAAAAAATTCTGCAGATTGTCTTTGGATTTGGTGCTGGGATCATGTCTGCTGAAAAGATGCTTCCCGGAGCACCTGGTGGCTCAGTCAGTTAAGTGTCGGCCTTCAGCTCAGGTCATGGTCTCGGAGTCCTGGAATCAAGTCCTGCTCAGTGAGGCTCCCTGCTCAGCAAGAAGTCTGCTTCTCCTTCTCTCGCTTTAATATAAATAAATTAAATCTTAAAAAAAAAAAAAGGAAAAGACGTTTTTTATCTGGGGTTTCTTGTGGGGTGCAGGGCTCCTCGATTTGGTCTCTGCTGGAAGCCAGTGGAGTTTGCAAGTGCGTGATCAGGGCCTGGCTGCTCCCCTGTGCCACCCCGCATGGAGATCTGGAAGGACTGGCTCACATGAATTTGAAACAAGGCTGTCTGACTGGCTATTCCTGTTGTTGGGTGGTTGCTGACAGTAGCTGTGAGGGAATCGACTGTTGTAGCAGAATTCTGTGGAGTTGTGCTAATTTCTGTAGCTTTGAAACAAAAGTTATTCCATTCGGCTTGAGTGTTGTCCTAATGCTAAGAGTAGTCACCAAAATTGGGAGTGGAGTCATAGGGAATAAATGCTGTGTGTGTGACAGAGACACAAGCAGGTGGCGGGTGTGATGTGGAGAGGGTAAGCCACAGAGGTCTGATGACTGGGGGTGCAGGGGTGCAGTTCTGCTTGGGCCTGCTGTGGCGGGGGGTCTGGGTGTCTGGGTGAGTGGGGTAGGCACAGGGTTCCGGGGACTGAAGGCACAAAGCCTTGGTCAGGGAGATGAAAACTGCAGCAACAACAGGCCCGTCTGTGTCCCGTGGGTAGGTGGAGCCAGGGGGCCCTGCTGAGGGGCCCGACTCCTGGTTCTGGCCTGGCTGTATTGTCATGGGAGATGATACCCACTGTCTCTCCTTCCTCTCTTTTACAATCATTCATTCACTCATGTACCGCAGACTCAGCTTAAGGGGCTAACTTGTGTGGGGCACAGCCTGGAGCCAGTCAGCAGCTTACCAAGTGGCTCCTGGGCACTCATTTGGCCCCTTGGCCTTCACACAAGCTGGGGAGATGAGACATGCATAAGGCAGGCAGCCAGCAGTGTTACGCCGTGGGGAGTCCAGAACCAAGTGAGGTGGCAGGCATGTAGCCGAGGCTGTGGACAGTAGTTGGCCTCCCTGGCATCTAGGATCTGTCCATCATACCTACTTGGAGGATCCTGAGTCTGAGAGTTGATCTCTGAACTAGATTCCTTGATCTGCCTATAAAAGAGGCTGACTGCGGGTATTAGGTCCCCATAGAGGCTGCTGAGGGGTAGAGAGCCTCCCCATGGATGGGCGCCTGGGAAGGCAGGAGGGGAGGGCCCGGATGCATCAGGACCGCTTACAGATGAGGTGGCAGGTGGGGATGGGAGTAATGCATTGGGGCCTTGTACATCTTTGCTTGGGACCCTGCATGTAAATTCCTGCCATCGTTGAGGCACAAGGAAACAGAAACCATGTTGATTTCTCCCTTAATAGAGAACACAGCTGTTGCCCAATGCAAGGAGTAGCATCAGAAATTACTATGAGGTCTTTACAAAAAAGACTCTGTAATGATAGTTCCTGGGTTTGGGGTCCTCCATCTGACACAGCTGTGCTTGTCTCTGGATACAGAAAGCCTGTAGATGTATGGGTCCCTCTTTGTCTGAGAGACCCCAAAGGAAGGGGGTGTGCACCCTTGGCCACTATGCTGGGCACAGCAGGGTTTTCAAGCTGATAGTCATGATTTACTCATGCACCCATGTTCAAAGACATTTGAAAAATAAAGTTAATTTTTCAGCAAATGGCAATGAAATGTCCACTCTATTCCATATGATGTTCTAGGCTCAGAAAAAGCGGGGAGTAGAAAACTAGCACATTTGCTCTGCCATCCAAAGACAGCAAATACCAACATTCTTTCTAGTCATTTTTTGCAGGACCCCCTTTGTAGAGGGCACATCTGTAGACCTCCTGGCCGCGGGATTAGTTAGCTTGCTCTTGTGGACCACTGGCCATTGTTAAAGCTGCAGGTGGGAGTCCCCGGGGCTCTTCTCCCAAGAGGTGGACCATGCTGTCTGGCAAGGAAGAGGGGGAGCAGATAGTCGGCCCTTACACCTGCCTCACTTCCCACAGGCACCTGTGCCGGCCTTGTCACA